GTACACACACACACACACACACACACACACACACACACACACGTGAAATGAATCAGGATGCTTCAGATATGTTGCAAAAGTAGCTAAGTGTAAGCTATGGATTAGCAGTTCATAACTGAAAGGGTACATATTGACTTCCTATGTCTACATAATAATATTAGCACTTTGCATAGCAATTTTCATCCTCAAAGCTCTTAACAGACATTAACTCATTACTCAGAGGAATGTAAGGTTGGTGTTTATTTTATACTCCCATTTTACAGAAGGGAAAATGGAGGCAAATAGGTTAAATAAGTTGCATAAGGCCATGTTGGCAGGAAGTAGGGGGTGTAGGAGTGGGTGTGTGTCAATGTTAGAGCCAGGTTTAAAATTCGGGAGTTTTTGGCTTCCAAACCTGTGTTGAGGCCACTACATGTCTCATGTCTACATGTCTCATCCAGCATAAACTTTTGATGGTATTGATTACATTATTATTACTATCTTATTTGATGGCTCCTAGGTGCTATATGGGTTATTTTCTTCATATTAGCATGTCATAAAGTAGCAACAAGGCACTGCTAGCATTGCAACTCAGAAATGTCTTCTCCACAACCAGACAAGCATATTCTACAATACACTTCCTGTTCTTTCAGATTCTACTGAATCACTGTTGTATTAGATCAAAGGCTACTGAGCTATGTTTCTCCTATCATAGCTTTTTTCCTTGTAGAATCTGCATAGAATCACAAGGGTTTACTTTTCATGAAGACCCAATATAGTGAAGCAATAAATCAAATATATTAACAAACTGATTTAAGAACCCTCCTTGCTTTACTGTATTTTTGTAACTTGTCCGATCTCCATTTCTACTTCACTTATTCTGAATATTTGTCCCCTCCCAAATGCCGTCTGTGGCCTTAAACAGATTAAGTTATGGCTGTAGAAAGAAAGATTGGCGTTGTTGATGCTGTCAGAGTAGAAGAGTTCGTTCAGATTAACAATCTGCATCTCATATTTTAGTCTCCTAAAGCTGACACTAGAGAGATCTTCTTTGCCTTTTTTTTTATAGTAATTCATTGATCAGCTGCTCAGAAATTGACCTTGCAGAAATGACATCAGGGAAGACTCTCCTAATGTTCAGTTTTTTCCATAAATCATTCTGGCAAAGGAGTTAACACCCCTTTTCAATTTCAATAAGTGTGTGTTTGGTGGGGAGCCGGGGTTATTAATGGTGATATTTACGAGTTATATGCAGCCAGTTTTGCAAAAGTGGTCTGATTTTTTTCGGTGCCTGAAATATGGGGAGCACAACTTAAAACACCCACCTTTAGAAAACTCTTCTGCAAATTGTAGTCTGTATTGCATTTCGGGGCAAAGGGCAAACTCTGCACGTGGCTTATGGAGTTCCACTCATGTATTCAAGAGCAGATTTGTCTCTTCGCCTTCAAGGGCACAGGGACTATCTCTTTTACTATGTGTATGGCCAGTACCTAGCACGGTGGGGCCTACAGAGGCTGTTATAATATAAATAATGTCATTTTAAAAAAAATGTTGAGATACTGGGGGGAGGGTTTCGCTTCTGACCCTAAACCAAAAATTAAATAAAAGTCCTAGGAAGCGCTAACTGCCTGTGGTTAACAAGTCCCAGGATATAACTTTCTCTCTCTGCCCCTTTTCTCCCCCCCTCCCCCCCATGACACAAACACCAAGTTCCTAAATTGATGGTGTTTATGTCTGAAACACTTTTCTGATGTCTGGCTCTGTCAAGACTAATTTTAACATTTCCAAAGCTGGGTAAAAATACAGCCTCATTACTTTGATGTCAGAGCAAAGTTTACTATTAGTATATTCTGGGGTTTATCATTTTAGTCATGTTTAACACGGCTGCAGCAGGCATGCACTATTAAATCTGGCTTACTTTACATTCCTGTCTGGGCTTATTTATTTGGAACAATTTCCTCTCTATCAAAAGACATGGC